TTCTAACCAATGGTAATGTTTGGCAACACGCTTTTTGGGTTAATTGCTGTGGCGAACGTTGCAGATTGGAAGATTTTGTGAAATAGAAGACTGCATGTGCTATTCTGGCTTCGTTCACAGGTATGCATGATTATTTCTAATCGTGCTGTACTCTTTTACCTACACTTCCATGCTCGTGTGTTCAAGCGCGAAAAAAATCCGATTGATTAAGCTATCTCTTGTACGTGTCCAAGGCTAATTTCTATTATGTATCAATATAACCGTCGACAATATATTTCAGATTATAGGGCCAATGAGGACATATCATGGCTCGTTTATTTTAATTTTTCAAATATGATTTTATTTTATTTCTTTGTTCTGTTTTGTTTTATACTTTTATATTACAGGTCAACTTGGATTGTAACTGCATCGATAGAAGCCAGTAGCTCTTAAGCTGTTTTGATTGTTGCTCAGAAAGCCGTGTTTTTCATAAGGCTTTCTAGCAGTAATCAAGACTAAATTTGAGTGAAAGTTCTCCAACTATCACCCCTCTCGTGTCGCATCCATCTCTAAAACGCCCGGAGGGCGTCAACACACTTCTTCGGCGAGCCAATTAATGCTGATTTTTTTACGACTGAATCCCATAAATCTTTGCATAAGACAAAAGCATTCATCTGACGTGATATGTTCGATGTATCGCATTTTAACCGTTGTCGAAAAAAGTTGTAAAAAAAAAATACCCTTGAAATAAATTTATCGAAACTCAACGCAAAAAAAAATGGATCATTGGAAATATTTTGTAATATTACAGGGTATGCAGCATATCGACGGTGAAACCAAAAATAACTTTAAAAATATTTTTCTCCACATGCATTTAAAAGCAAGTATTGAGCTACTTAAGAAGTGCTTGAAAATGTAGATATTCAGAATGCCCTGTTTACATAATACAAAGGCAGGTGGACGTGATAAATGGTGCACTTTTAATGCCTGATATGCGTTTCAAACCGACAATGAGTTGATTAAACATAAACAGTACTGCTCCTATCATTCTCTCTTCTTTTTTATGTCATTAATATTTGATAGGTTTATGTTATGATGCCTTTATATTATCTTACGGCTTTTTTTAATTATATTATAAAACTTGTAAATTATTTTATTGATTTATTGAAGCTATTATATTTAGGAAGATATATTCATCATGCATCGGGACACCTTCTCGTTGATGTACGACTTCAAAGAAAATAAGATTTAGGGTGAAAACTTTTAATTGAACTTATTATTAACTGTTACTTTACTGATTATAGAAAATGGTTAAGCATTGTTTACCGTGGACGAGGACCCAAAATGTTGCCAAAATTCTGAGAAATTAAAATCTTTAAAATACACCCTGTTCGGCCGGAACACAACTTCTAGACTTAAATTCTTATTGCAAAAATTGCAATGAGAGATGGTGTACGCTTTACTGCAACGCGGTTCAAAGCGCCTTCAATTCTGTAAGATACGCAACAGAGTACATGCTGAACATTACATATCCTTCTACATAAAACGATGACTGAACATGCCTCTACAGATTCCGTGGATGACATTAGCGAGATAGCAGAGTTTTTTCTTAAAACATGTCACGTTTTACTTTCTGCGTTTCCTTTTGCTCTCCTAAACATCTTATGATGAGTACTACAAACCTAATTAAATTAAGCATTATCATTGCAACAGAAAAATCAATAAATAATAATTTTAGTTATACTTCTCAATAGCTCAACTTCAATTACTTCTTCATTATTCGAAATTTTGTTTGTTATATGTTCTTGCAGTTGTTAAAAACACTACAAAGTGGAGAAAATATGTAATCAAAATGAAAACTGAAGTAACTTTCTGAAAACATTCAGCTTTGCATCATCTATAATGGTATGTTTGGCCGCATAGTTGTAACATAGTTTCTTTTAGCATAAATACGTCCAAAAATGAAACATTGTTTTTATCAAAAAATGTGTAGCCCAGTTGTAAAAAAGGAGAAAAAAGTATCATCTTTCAAATAACGTTGCAAAAATCAATCATGTCAATAAACCGCTCGCAACCTCTTCTCTTCTCTTGTTGCATTTTTTTTTCTTTCTTTTTTAAGGTATATTATGAGCATAATTTACGAATGCCAAACAAATGCAACGTCACCCACTAGACGACGAAATGTCTTAAAGTAAATCTGAATTAATACCACATGATGCATGCCTCAACAATAATTCCCGAATCATGCTATAAGGTACGAAGTGCCTTAAATTGCGAGAGATGTGTCAGCTTAACAACAAGGGCGTGTATCAATTATTGCCCACCTCAGTATTGAAGGCGTTTTATGTTGTTCATAAAAAGCCTGTTCGTTGAAGTACACATGATAAATAGAGACAATATTAAGTAATACAAACGTAGAAGAATGAGTATAATGTAAGATTAAGAAAATTTCTCTTCCAATCACGAGTGACATTTGTCCTTATCCTTTTTTTGACGCTTAAGCCTTTTCAAAAATCACCGGTTCAGTTGGGAAAGCGTCTTAATCTATAAACCGCGTCCCCTTTACTTTCACTGTCCACCTAAGCATCCCGTCGATCACTTTCGATGAGCACCTTTGAACCTCCAAACGAGGAAAGCTTTACTAATGGGGATCATCAGGATGGATCCTGCATATCTCATTAACAACTCATCGGTCTTTCCCAAACTCCTCCGCGCCGTCATTAAGTCCTGACTGTCCCTTTTTCCGGTGAGCATCCTGGCACGAGACCAGTCAACACCGGAGTGAAGATGAGAGGAGTCTCAGTGCGATGTAAATTTGAACTTCCTGATCCTCCAAATTCCCAATTTTTCTGGAACTTTTTTATCGAGCTTTGCATGGTGCCGTGTTTATGTGCATTGTCACTTTAATGACTTACTGTGCACACTGTGGAAAAGCACTCGGAAAATTTCACTCTTTCAAGGAAAAATACCGGCGATGAATTAATTAAAAGACTGTTAACTTGGAGTTATTTTGTGGTGCAACGCGGAAATTTTGACTGTGAACTTTTGGAATGAACGACGCCCGTTAGGGCGAAACTCTCTCCTCCAAAAACCTGTCTCTTCCTCAGATTTTGGTGAGTTTTTAGTATTTTGTTCTTTTTCTCCCCCACCCTTCCACCCCTCGCCTTCAAGATATTTTGACTTCCCAAATTTTTCACAAGCTATTCGGCTTCCATGGGACTCTATCACCAAGGATCTTTTTTCCTGACCTTCGAAGTGCCAAGGCATGCGTGCAAATATTCCGTCAGTCGAGTTTTTGTAGAATTGCAGGAAAATTGGCGTTTTTATTTTCTCCTCCCCCTTTTTTGAACTAGGCCGTAAAGAACTTGAAAGGACAGGGAAATTCAATGTTTTAATCGAAGTATTAATATGCTCTTTATGGACAAAATAAGGGAGTTTCCACTGAATGCATATAAGAGGTTAAGACATTCAAGGGAAAAAAATGAGATACTGATGATCATGAACAATACTTGTCTCAAATTTAACTAGGTAAACAATCTGACCTCAAAAACTCAGTTTTCGGCACAGCAATAAATTGAAGTTGTTGAAGTTTCTCATGAGCCATGAGACATAATGCAATTTTTAAACTTTGGACTTGTTTTTCTCTATATCAGATTAATTTTGTTTTCCACTCTCACTCGACGGACGCTTTTTTTTTTTTTTTTTTTAAACAAGAGCTGCAGCTGTCTATCGGTTGGGTTAACTTGGAACTTAGTCGCTGTAGACAAACAGCCACCGCACATTGTTCGTACACATCCATGTTCCAGGATTTTCAAATTTTCAGGGATAGAGGCCGAGTAGAATCTGATTCAGCAGATCTACTGGCTAGTTCCGAGAAAATTTGACATCACTACCGGGACTCGAACCCGGGACCTATTGGCCTGGAGTCAGACGCGCTGACCACTAGGCCAATCTGGCCGGCTGACGGATACCTCAAATGCTGCATTAAGAAATATATTACCCGTCCATTTTTCCTTCTATGCAAAATCGAAAAAGTTTGCGCCCGAAAATATAAATCTGAACATCTCGGGACTGCTAATACGGTTAACTTAAGTAAAACGAACCAGTGGCGTGGCGTGCTTTGTGATATATCGATTGAGCTGCCATTTAAACCTATGGAAAATGATTGATTATCAGGGTGTTCGCAACGAACACCTTAATAATCGATTCTTCATCATAGCTTCAAATGGATAAATATCGATAATCGATCATTCACGCCACGCCTCTGAAACGAACTATAAAAAGTAATGCAGATAATAAAAACCTATATATTTCAAAGACATGTTCTCAAAGTTGGAGATTTGATTGCCTATGCATGAATGAAAATAAAAATTGGTATAATGGTGCTAGAAACAAGAAAAATTTAAACAGACTCAGATTTATTTTATACTCAATGCTTCAAAAGATTACAAAATGAATTTTGGACAGTATTCGGGGTTAAGGGTAACAGGTACCAGCTTAAATTTAGATTCAAATGCGCGCCTCTTTGATGTATGACGCAGTGGCGTCGCGAGAATTGCGATATATCGATTGTTATGCCATTTAAACCTATGCTGAAGAATCGATTATTAAGGTGTTCGATGCGAACATCCTGTTTATCGATCCTTTCTCATAGGTTTAAATGGCATGACAATCGATAAATCGCAAAGTACGCCACGCCCCACGCCACTGGCATGACGTGCCTAGAATGCCTAGACGCTGTGACGACTGTGACCATAGTATGCATAATGATAAGGTTTAATCGATGGCGCCAGGGAAATAAGTATTTCAATTCGCAATATTGGCTATTTCCCCCGAAATGTTGTATTCATCGATGATGATATTAGAAAAGTAAGGAGGTACTTAATAGTTGGGTCAACTCGTAAGTTTCCATAAGCTGTAATTTGTTGGTTTTTAATTTTACTGAGATCTTTCTCGACGGAACGAAACATTCTTTTAGAGATCATGGTATACCTACGATTAACTGGGAATTTGCAAAAAAAATTGTTGAAAGAACCAAGAAACATCAAATGAGCTGACTTCATGAAAGAACATTGGCCAAGCTATCTTCAGAATCGTTCACGATATCCTTAAAAAAGTGCAACGTGACAGGAAATTTGAAAAATCCTAAATTGAGATACGTGCGCTTTCGTGCTTTTGTGCTTTCACCATCGATTTGCTACTTTTTGATCGTTGTCGATCTCGTTCAAGATTATGTACATTTTTGCGACTCACAGAATTACGAGCCTTGACTTTCCATTTTCGTCTCCGAACAAATAAATTAAATTTATTGCAATTTATTATAAAACATAAGTACTTTAATAAAATCAAAACAATATAAATTTAAATAACATTTAATAGGTCAAATTTTTAGCAAATACTTTTCAATTCCATTCATTTATTTTCCTCTCGTTGCAATGACTCGACTTCGTGAAATTTTCTATCCTTCCTGAAATAGAAAAGAAATTAAGACATCAGTAATCAAAATTTATATTGGAAGCCACTCAAGATTGTTAATTCAGATATAATAGGTATAATTTGAACATCTGAATTGCATGGTAACCTTCCTAAGGAAGCTTATCTATGTTATTCATTTTTGCATTACTTTCAATTTTTAATTAATATCTCAAACTAACTACGAAAACACTCCATTAGCCCTCCCCCTCCCCATGAACAAGACTCTCCTTTGTGTTGTAAACTGAATTTGTAACTCTCGGTTTTCTATTTAAAGTGGACTTCGAAGTTGATTGAACCCGGAGTAATTTTCTGCCAAGACTGAAGATTTGTAGCGGGGTATCTTTTATTTTACCTTTAAACTTGGTTTATGTTTTAGTTTATGTTGAAAAGTTTTTCGAGAATCCTCCATGAAACGACCATAAAATAAATATTGAAAATAAATATTTAAATAAATATTGGTGACAATAGTAATTAAAGAGCTATAATGTTTTTCAACGTATATTATACGGATGTTTTCAATTCGCCTTCAGTTCCGTCCGCAGCAATTGTTGTTGTGAATATGTTGTGCGTACTGATCTCAGCTCATTACATACTTGACTCTCTGAAGGCGTTTTTGTGCGAAAGTAGAGCACTCTGTTAGAGAACAACAGAAGTGAGATCGAATGAATAGGTCAATCCCTATTTCGTTCGTTCTCCGACAGATAGCGCTACTTAAGAACGTAAAACGCCTTCAGAGAGTCGAGTATGTAATATGCTGAAATCAGCACGCACAACATATTCGTAACAACAATTGCTGCAGAAGCAGTTGAAGGCGAAATGCTTTCGGTTAAAAAAATAAGAGTATTATAGATAATCTGCATGTAACGAGAGGGTATGTATTCGATCGACGTGAATCGAACGAAAAATAAAAACGTGAACCGATCAACACCGATTGAATGGGCAAATAAATGAAAGAACTTATCAAAATCAGTAAAAGACTTGCATTTACTATGAAAATTTCAAATTGCGATAGCTCGAAATTGGGATTCGCCGAAATTCTGATTTTTCGCGATTTTAGGTCCACATTCTCCTTATACTCATCCCTTGCAAACCGTCTTTGGGTGCATTTTTGTCGCATTTATTTGTTGCTTCAAGATCACTGTGACTCTGAGTCCAGCTCTTATTATAAAATAGTAGCTTAAAATAGGAAAACATCACAAATAGAGGGTGAGGGGAGTATAGACTATGAATTAAATTTGGAATGATGACAGTGACGCTAAGACAACTTCGCTCAGTTTATAATGACTTACCCATTACTACAGCGAAAGAGATCTTCAAAACCGATGTACACGCACGTGATTCTTGCTCCGGTGACATCTCTAAAGTCTAAAAGTGGGACAAAATAATGATGAATTTGGAATTAATCAGATTTCCAGAACAGAAATTTAAATATTAAATGACTCGGGACACAGATTTTGCGATGAAAAATTGAGCCATCGATTGCTAGAAAACAATATTTCACGAACATACCTCAAGCAATGTACAATAAAGTAGCAATTATTGAACTTCAGGTAGCTTTTCTAAGCTCGAGGAAATAAACCTCAAGCTAATTTAGGGGCCAAGGTTTTGCAACTATCTTAAAAAAATGTGACGGAACCGTCGTTGAGTAAGTATCTTCCACCTAATAAATTATAAGTTAATGGGCTTAATTGGGTTACTCTGAGGCTTCTACTGCCGTGCTAAGGAAAATCGCCGTATTAGTCTTCAGGCGATGCCATATTTCCTTTCATAACCAACGAATTTACTAGGAAAATTCTGAATATTTATCATCAAATTTTTTGGATAGTTTTGTTCTCAATTTCATCTAAAATACCTGAAAATTTCAAGGAAAAATAGGAATTACTTTCCTCGAAAGTACATGTTTCATCTGGAAAAATTTGGCAACTCCCGAACGTTCATACGGGGTTCTTCCTTAGCACGGCAATCTAGTGCCTTTTTTACGGCGTGTAATACAATGGAGATGTTGCATGGGTGAGGAATTTGCGATTTGACTGTTGATTCTTACGTAAAAGTTCGCGAGAAACACGATGGTGCCACTGGCTTTCTCTGAAATCATCTCCCAAGCTCAAAAAAGCTCACAAGTTGAGGCCAAAATGGAGGGGATATCCCACGCTATCCTGAGCGTCCAGCTCTACATCAAGACAAACTCTCCATGCAAAGATAGGGAGCAAATACATTGACAGGGCTGCCGTGATTTCAGTTTTAGAGTCCCCAAATAAGGTGGCAGCACTGTCAATGTATTTGTTCCATATCTTTGCATGGAGAGTTTGTCTTGATGTAGAGGTGGACTCTCAGGATAACGTGGGATATACCCTCCATTTTGGCCTCAACTTGAGAGCTTTTTTTGAGCTTGGGAATTGACTTCAGAGAAAACCAGTGGCACCATCGTGTTTCTCGCGAACTTTTACATAAGAATCAACAGTCAAACCGCAAATTCCTCACACATGCAACATCTCCATTTGTCGGTAAGATTATTTAACTGACAATGAGAGACAAAATTGAAGGGGGGGGGTTACTAATAAAATGGGTGACAAGAGGCGTTACCTGATTTTAGTAAGTCGAGCGCCCTCTTCCCATAGCGGCTGCCCATGAAAAACCGGTCATTCCTGCCAGAAACTTCCAGCAAGGGTGAGTTGTCGGGTGTAATGGAGAGACTCCGTCTTTCTAACACGCTTGTGTCTGATGGCCGACCTATGAGAAAAATTAGGGATCTTCAGAGCTATCACAAACAAAACTTTTTGAAGACTTTCAACTCTTCTATTCACCTATCAAACGGAAAAAAATAACGAAAAATTGAAGGACGACAATACATAGGCGGTATCTCCCGAAGTATTTGTTATTGGTGGCTATACAGAAGAAAATAGATGGTGTGACGACAGAACCTTCTGCTCACAGGGCTACTGCAGTTTCTTTGTTACACTTACAGAATTTTTCTCTTGTGAGAGCAGAACTTCGGTCGTGGGAACAGAATACTCTGTCCTCATGACGGAAGCTTCTGTTCTGTGTCTGTTACAAGATAAGTGCAGGAGCCCAGTGAACGGAACTATTTTTCTTCAGTGTACCCTATTACCTCAACTTACAGTGATTCGACGGTTGCCATTTTTTTTGTCAGAGATCGAATGCGATATTTTTCCTCTAAAAAACCCTGCTTTCAATACGTTGAATTTCTTTGTCAAATTTGGTACATGAATTCTTTAGTCTCATGACAACAGAAGTGCAATCTCAAAATTTAAAAAAAAAAATGACAAGTAGCTGGAATTATGAAACGAAATGATGCGATATATCGCGCGTCGCTCTAACACAAAAAATTGCAACCGTCAAATCACCTTTAGACACTCTATTGTGAGTGCGAAAACCATAGATTTCCTATAAATGGTGTTTTTTCGTAATATTCATTGACGGACTAGCAATTAAGAGTTGCTTCGTACAAGACGCAATCGCGCATACTATAAATGTTAGCGCGCCTTAATCCAATGGCGATACAACAAGAGCCTCTCAGGGGCTGATACAATTGTATAATGCATTTGAGTTCATTACTTCCACGTTTTGACCCTGGACGAATTGATTTGAGAGCTACGATTCACCTTCGATTCGATTGATATGCAACACTACCTACTCGGAAGTTAAAATAGTTTTATGCTTTATTTTGGTGCTCCTTAACTTTCCATTAAAGACAAAATGAATAGCTATTCGTAAAAATTATATGTTTGGAGGTAAGCTTTCCTATGGCTCAAAATTATGTCACCATTGTGATTTCAACCTTAAGAGGTCTTTTCATATATGTGAGAGCCAATTTAAGAAAGGAATGAGAGGCATTATCGTGATTCTAGGGATTACTTCTGCGGGATTATGGAAGTGGTGCAATGTTTTGTGATTTTTTTTTTAAAAAAAGAAGAGTTTAAAGTTATGGAGATGCGATGACTAAAGAAATGTTCGAACTGATGGCGTAAATGTGAATATTTATCATTCCAAAATTTTATTTCGAACGTTTTCTTTCAAGACTAATTATACTGAAAATCAACAATATCTAACTTCCAAAGACATCACTTCAGCTCCCCATTATTCTAAAATCTATATTTATGGACTTCATTATGGGTTTGATTTTTTCTCCCGAAAACATTAAAAAATACTCCAGATTCATAGAAATTAGCAAAAAGAAACTCAATCGGCCTACGTCCACGTTTGACCAGGTTCAGAATCATATTGAGAGTGGTAAAAATGGTCGTATTTGAAGAAAAAGATTAAAATTTTTTTTTACTGAGGACATGTAATCTATCTCAGGAAGCAGGAGTGAAGGTTGCTATTGCACCTGTCAATAAAGAAGAAAATTGAGTTTGAGCTCTTTCGGAGAATATTCTAATTAGGTATATAATTAAAGTTTTTCTAGTACCTACTCATAGATCCTATACATTCTATTTTGTGAATTTAATTTTAGAAAATGTATTTTTCAAAGATCTTTTTTCTAGGTAGTATGAATTTCTAGCAACTCAATTCTAATCGGTGCTACAAAGAAGCAAACACTACATTTTGTAATTGATCAATATTCTATCAGAACTTTCCTAAAGTTCCCTCAATTTTGCCTGAAAGTTTTCTGTCTACTCTTTTCCTTCCATCTTGACAACAGTTCCCATACCTCGAAAACACGTAGCCCTTAAAAGTGTCAATCAATCTCTAGAAAAAGGGTATTTTACAAAAGATCAATAAGGTTGCATGCAAAATCATCGAATCAATTACAAGTCTTTCATCGATTCAAAATCAAAAGTCGTACCTGTGTCGAATGATTCTTCTGAAGCAATCCTCTTGCCATACCTACCCCCCGTTGAGAAGAACTCTTGAGAATTTGATGTGCTAACGAATATCAATAGACATATGCAGGACTCAACGATGACGGTTGCTCCTAGCATTTTGCTTCGAGCCCTGAAACAAATCGAATATCATTATCAATTAAATCACATCAAGCATCAGTACCATCATCGTCATAAATATATTTAAAGCAAATGCTAAATTTTTGATGCATTAAAGACTGACTTTATCTGAAATTGAAGTTCCAAGGATAAAAAAAAAGCACGAGCTTGTTGTGTGATATGGACATTTCCAATTAATTGTGGTAGTACACGAATTAATCGTGGTCGTACCCCAATAAATTAGGTTACAAACCCAAATTTTGCGGTACTAACCTAACTTGAGTTGTGGTTCTATCACAATTAATTAGAAACGTCCGTATCATCAAACCAATTGTGGTAGTACCACAATTTTAGGGGATAACTCCTAACACTTTTTTTCCGTGTACCTTGAGCCGGTGGTCAAGAGGAGGAAAACAATGGCTTAACACTCTAGAAGCAATACATGTGAAACACGAAATTCTAGAACTTAATTTTTAGCCTCGCTTTTCACAATTAAAAATTTTAAAAAGTTAAAAATATAGAGAGACAGTTTAAAATTTGTCATCGAAGTCACGCGGTTTCATTTAATTCCATAACTTTTAACATATTTTTTCTCCTTGCTGATGGTCTAGTGTCTCTTGCACGACAGGCTTTATGAAAGTCATTACGCCTTCAATGTCTAACATATGCAACAAGTGAATTGAAAAATGAAAAAATGTCAGTGTGTTCATATTGAAAAATGTCAGTGCGCACATAGGACCTTTCATAGAACAATATTTTACGCCCTGAATCCTTCTTTTAAAGCACATGTAACGCGAGCCTGTAACCTTAACCCCTCCTCCTCACGCCCACCGAATGTATAAAGTAGTAATAAATCTCAGTTGATTCCTTTCTTTCTTATTTGTGGAGAAAATGGATGAAAAATTAAGAGCAAAAAAAGGCAAATTATAGGATCCGAACATTGCAATCTTTATAGAGAGCAAAGAAAAAAAAGAAAAGAATAAAATAAAAAATAAAATTTAGAAAGCATAAAATAAAATACTCAAATAAAGCACAATGAAAATTACAAAATTCGTATAATTTTTCTTGAAAGCAATTTAAAAACATACAAATATTCAAACGTTATGTAACGCAGCCGTAGACCCCGTCATACAGACTTCCTCCCCCTGCCCGTATAGCGTATCTTCTTTTATAAACGGTTCTTATGCATATTACATACCTCGAACTCTTTACATTTATTTAATGTCCATTTTAAATTGATTTCATGTGGCATTTTAAAGAATTTCTATACTGCCATGCCAAGGAAAAACGCCGTATGAACATTCGAGAGTTGCCAAATTTCCCCAAATAAAACATGTATTTTTGAAGAAAGTTATGTGTATTTTCCTTTAAATTTTTTCGATATTTTAGATTATATTGGGAACAAAATTGTCTGAAAAATTGGGGGAAAGATATTCAGACTTCTCCTAATAAATTCGTAGGTTATTAGAGGAAAAATGGCAACGCCGGAAGGTTCATACGGCGTTTTTCCTCAGCACGGCAGGATAGTAAACGCAGTGCACGCAGTGAAGCTAGATTGAAATGTAACGTAGTTGGGTGAGTTCAAATAAGCGTCTAATTTAGTGTCCCGAGCTGTTTTAATCGTCATAATCTGAGAAACATGGGCAGATCAAATTTTTTTCTCATTTTCCACACTACTGTTGACTACTACATGCTATTTCCCACTTTATTTGGACTGAAATAAAAATTTAGGAGAACTTTGAATGTGCAAATTGCCTACATTTGTCCCAAATTTGCGTGTCCCCCGTGCCTGGTTCTTGACTTTAAATCGATGTTGCAGCATAACTAGAGTAATTATTTAAGAAAACTTTATCGGAGATGATAGGTAATGCTTTTGAATTTGAGAAAAAAAATATGTCAATTTATTTTTTGCTCCATCAATAACTTTTTCACGCGCTAGAATCATTGTCCCGAGCAACAGTCAGTAACTGTCAGGAGAGACATGGCAACGATGTAATAAGCTCTAAATGATTGCCGTAACGTTGAGGTTTTTTCAAAAACGACTTTTTTTGTTTTGATTGAATATTTCACACGTCGTGGATGGCAAAAATTCTGAAATTCGCAAATTTTTGTGCAAGATTAACGCCATTAACGATGCCAAACAGAATGCTATACACGATAACTAACAGGGCGTCAAGCATACACACTCACTAATATCAGCTCGTAAAATACTTTTGAAGTGTGCGTAAGGGAAAATTTTCTCTTATTCCGATCCTCTAGGACGTGCTACTAAATATTCTGTGAAAAAAACCACCAAAATTGTCTTTACTGTTAGAGATAAGCTTAAAAAACAGCTTATTCCATCCTGTCCCGTTCCATCTTGTCCCGTTCCATCCTGTCCCATGTCCCAGTTTAGTGGGACAGAGTGGAAAACTGTTACAACTGAGACTTGCTTGTTTAAGCTTTGTAGGCGCTCTTTTCTACCGATTTAAGTGAGACTTGGTACCCGAGGGTATTTTTCAATTGGAAACTCGAATTTTCAGTCGAATTTTGAAAATTTGAAAATCCAAGATGGCGGACATGACCTAAAATGCTATCGCAGCGCCTAATCAACTGAGACTTGTTTGTTTAAGCCCTGTAGGCGCTCTTTTCGACCGATTTAAGTGAAACTTGGTACACGAAGGTACTTTTCAATGGGGAACTTAAATTTGTTGTCAAATTTTTAAAATTCGAAAATCCAAGATGGCGGACATGGCCTAAAATGCTATCTCAGCGCCTAATCAATCGCTTTACGCAAAACTTGGTACCCATGCGCCGCGGGTATTTTTGAGTGGGAACTCGAATTTTAGTCAAATTTCCGAGATTCGAAAATCTAAGATGGTGGCCGTGGCTTAAAACACTATCTCGGTGACTAATTAATTGATTTTAATAAAACTGGACCGGAAAACCATGGTATAAGGAAAAGAAAGGAAATTTTAAGAGGGGTGCAATAGGGTTTCTTATGTTTCTTAGGCTACGAAATCGAAAAATTCCTGTGTTTTTTCCATCATGCAAAGATTCTCCTGGCAAATTGACTCTTCTGGAAAAGCTAGATTTTTAAGGAAAATTCCGATTTCTCCGGAAAAATGCCGAACTTTCCCAGGATAAATCGCATCGATACAGGTAAATGGAGGTGTTCTTCAGAATCAGCGCCAAAAATCAACTCTGAAACCATTGGCAAATCTTCGGAAAATCAAAAATTTAAAAAAAAAAAGTTGACCAGTGTAATTGTTATATTAATGTAAGTCCTCAAACTTTTCCTGGCTTTATCACCACTTCAGCGGGTACACGCCCTCTCGAAGTTTTAAAATTCGGTGTTTTTGATCTATTTTGTATTGCAATATTCCAAGAAATAAAAGCTTCTTCTTGTGTGAAACGAAAACAGTGCGCATTTTGATAAACAGACGGAACTGTCTAAAAGACGAGCAGAATAAGCTCCAGATATCTCTCATGACGGATGAATTTTTTCTTAATTTTTTTGGTTCTGCAAGATATGAAAGGGTTACATGTTTTCAATTATGCTTTAATTTAGTGCTCGACGATGCTTTTATGACAATAGTGTTCAATTTTTAATTAAAAGTATTATATGTCACCTCTGAGATGAAAATTTAGGAAATCAGGCAAAATTACGGCAAATTTTGGGAAGTGATACACTTGACGGTGGAAATTCGGGTTTAAGCCCAACTATTAAGCTCGACGGGCTATATTTCCTAAGTATACACCTAATGATAGTCAAAATAAAGTTTGGTTTGCCCAAAAATTCAGAAAAAAATTTTGGGAGGAAATAGAACCTGGAATTTGACCCTTATTTGAATTCACCCAGTTATCGAAACCCTTCATTGAGGAAATCGCGGAAAATTCTTGAGGAGGGCAGTCTTCGAGAAACGGGTTGAATGGGGGCTCACGTGGATTTGAACTTAGGGTAGTCGCTGTTCTTTGATCTTGAAAATGCGTGAGGTAGTTAATTACAGGCACTGCGGTGTAGCCATGTTAGGCGGTTATTAACAAAACTATGACGTTTTAAGATACTTAAGTTACAGACGTATCGGTTTAATGGTGATGGCGAACTCTGAAAAAGTGGCAAACATGTTTTGCGAGGGATGATAATCTCCGAAGACGGCATTGACTTGCGGGGGATGAAATTCAAAGCGATAGATTCAGTCTTAATATACACTGTAGGCTTGAGATCATGCTGTGAGACTTTAAACATACACTAACTTCATGCAAGGAGAAACCCTCATATTTCCATTTATACTTTTATTGACCATTTAAGTTAAAATCTGCATTATACATGAATTCTATGTACTATTAGTGCGGAATAATACGACTGAACTTGACGAAACTACCTTGGACATTGATTGGACCGCATTTTGCAATAAGGAACCACTATGTCTGGCTCATTTTAGAAACAACGTAAATGCCATCGGTTTCCCTATGCAGATATGTGCTTTTATAGGAAAGCCAGAGATGGTGGTTCCTTATTGTACTGCAAAATGTAATCCAATTCACACTACCGACTATCACAAAATTTTGGGTAGAAAACCGAATTTTAGTTTGAGGTTCGGAACTACTTTTGCGCTTCAACCTTGAAGCTGCCATTTTATTTGAGGTCGGAACATCCGATTTGGTGACTGACGAGTCGCAAAGTTTGTGATCATGTGAAGAAAGCGATTTTAGTAAGTACCGCCTTGCACGCAGGACCTGAAAGAAGTTCGATTTACAGAAAAGCAACTGGTCTGATTCGTCGAATCCGTTGGAAACGGTGTCTGTTTTGGTTAATGATTGATGAGAATATAACCAGTACAACTTTTCGGAACTGTAAATGAAATTTGCTTAAATTTATCATTTTCCATGAAGATGCCCCACCCCTAAACCAGGGTGACAGGGGGTATTGAATGAAATGAGCGAGTGCCAACTCCCTGATGGGTCGTGGGAGGACCGAGTTTTGTGGCAGTTAAGGTTCATGTACACGATCAAATTGAGCCATCAAACTGA